TGCGTGCGAAGCTCTGCACTGTGCTCATCCAGACACCTCACCTCTAGGGATGGGCGCAAACTGGGCCCAGGAGACTCTGGCACTCGTACCTAGCGAGCGGGGTGCCGGCTGAGTTTCGAAGGGACGCCCTTGCCTGTCAGGAGAATGTGAGCTTGAAACTGCTTTTCAATCAATGCCCCTTCTCCAAAGGGGGGAGTGTCAATCCATGCGTTGGCGCAGTCATCGGTGGAGAACATGCTTCCCAAAACTGGCCGTCGGCCGTTGCCCTGCTTAGCACCTCAAGTTGGAGCCTTCATGCCTCGCCTGCCTCGTCATGAGAGAAGTCCACAACGGAATTGTTCGTCCAATTGTTGGTTCCAGTGTGGAGACCCCACAAAACAAAGGCCCATTCTTTCAAATGACTGGTTTGCACTGCTTGCGACAACCGCTGCATGCTCTCCCGCCTCCGATGAGCGGGATGAAGGCAAAGCGAGGCGGATAGGCCCGTCTTGCGGCTGCGCATCCCTCGGGTACATGGTTGCCACAGCTTGGGCCCAACACGGCTATACATTCTTGCAGGGGCTCCTAGCGTTTGACTCCTTTGGTTCCTGGAATCTAGCGGTCGGTGATTGGCGTTGTGTTGCCCTGCTCGGAAAGCTTGGGCAAGTGGTCATTGCCAGCTTTCGCCCCGTTGAAGAAGGCCTAGTGCCTTTAAGAAAAGGATAGGACAGGTACCATCTGAGCAAACGGCTGGTGCTTCCCTCGCACCCTACTTCACAAGGAGTCTCGGGAGGTCCTGCAATTCAACTGGACTCTAAATTTGCATGGCCAGATCCCGGAAAATGCAGTTTGCCGTTGACATCCCAGCAAAACACTCGAGACAAGTAGGCCACCTGAGCCCGATTTCACTAAGCCCCGCTGCTCTTTCGGACTCTGTGAAATGGACGGGCTCCAAGGCTGCCGCAGCGCAATCGCACAGGACACATGAGGGAAGCACCAACAAGCCAACAAGAAACTTTGGGTATCTCCAGATTTCCCCACTCAAGGAAACACCGCGGTTTTATTTGACTCACGCACTGTTTCTAGACGTTCTCAAAAGTCTGAAATGTTCCTATTGTTTCACCCTCCAACCTACCACTTGCGGGGTGGGTTTGGTGGCAAACCATGGGGCCAGAACAAACCCCGGGCAGTTCCTGGAGTTCCCTTCAAACGTTGCAATTGTCTGGCCACTTTTGAAGGTCCCCTTTCAAGGGACATGGCTCGAAAACCCCACACAAAAAAAACAAAAAAACTTGCCGCAATTCCCGAAGCCAGACCACCTCCCCAAAAACTTGCTGGTGCTCAGTAGGGAAGGAGGGAATGAACCCAGGAGGCTTTGGTCGCCTGCAAGGAAACCACCAGTTGGGATGGTTTATCTCGGGGTCATTTCATGTCTTATTCCCTGCATCTCTCGCAGCAAGAAAAGGCATGGCCACAGGTGTCCTGTTGGAAAAATAGATGGCCCTGGCAACTGGAATCAAACCCATCTAGACCCGACCGCAGTCTACTTCTAGGCAAACTAACAGATCAAAAGTCCACCCCTACTGTGGATGGACGAACTCCTGCACCACCTAAGAAACCCTGGAATTGCGATTTCCATATAAACCTATATATCACCAACCCTGGAAATTATGATATTCCCCTGTAAATACCAACCCAATATCGGTTTCTGGGAAACCGCACAAAAAAAAAGAAGAAAAAAAAACAACGAGCCGCGGAGGCAGCTGTTGGATCTCCGCGCGCAGGCGCGAGAGCTCCGCCTCATGGGCGCGGCTCAGCTCCTGCGAAGTCGACTTCGGAGGCGACCGCTCTCAATCGGTGATGAGGACTTTTCAGCCGCCCCCCCAAAAACGACTCCCAAAGCGAGTATCAATATTTATATATTGTTTGAGCCCAAAACGGGTAGGTGTTGTTTTGTTTAAGCCAACCCCCCTCAAAAGGGAATTATGTTCACAATTTATTTGTGGGTATGTCGTTTCTTTTTTGAGCCAACCCCCCAAAGGGTAAACATTTTGCTATTGAAAACAACTTTCTGTGAATTTCTGGGGTATGGGAACCAGAAGGGCACCAACCAGGAGACTATCCCCAATTTCGATAAACACGCATTTGGATAGGTTTCATCGGGTGTGTTTTGGTGGGCATCAGACATCATGGCCACCAAGCATTTCAAAGGACCTCCGATAAAAAAAAAAAAAAGTTCCCGGGTACATTCAAGATCATTCATGGCAGGTACCTCCCCACAAACGAAAAGCCCCTGGATCGCCACTATGCCACTCCCCGACTCGGGCACCTTCAGCAGGAAGTGAAACTGGGATAGCTCCGCCTTGCCACGGTTGCGCAGCTAAAGTTGCAGAAAACCGTACAACAAAAATGGATCAGTCTTTTCTTGAGAGTACCTCTGAAATTTGTGTTTTCAAGGGACCTGAAGACACACACACACACAGACAAACATATGCATGAACCCTGCGCTTTTTTCTTCTTTTTTCGGGGTTCCACCCTTTACCCGTGAAACGTTTAGTGGGAGGAGTTTGAAGAAAGGTCGTGTAATTCAATCACTTGTTAAATGTCTGCTATGTTGCCCCGGTTTTTTGCACACCACCACACGACGCGGCCTTTAGTGCAACACAATGTTGGCAGACGGCTGTATGAAGATGTTCTTGTCGCATCGTTGACATCTATGCTGTTGACGTTGGCAGGGCCCCGCCTTTGCCATGGGCGTGAGAAGCTCTGACCCATGACGTGTTGCTTGGGCCAAAAGGCGACGAACGGAAGCTTTCGACAGCACCAGCAACTGCAGGCTCCAAGTGTGGACTAAATCAAAGTGATCAGCAGTAAAGCCGACAGAATGCATTTCAACATGCTCAGGAACTTCGGGGAACTCTCCTCACTGCAGAGCCCTGAGGGCAAGGTTTAGGGCCCAACCAAAAGCAGCCAAGCACAGGGTGTTGCTGCAACCGTTGCATCATCCACCGACCCAAGAAGCCGCAATTCTAGCTTCGCGCAATCCTAGCTTCCCCTATCAATTCCTGGCTGCCGCACTTGCCGAGTGATAAAACAATTGCAAAAAGTCCGTATGACTGGGGAGGACCCTTGACTGAGCGGACATCAGGAGTGCGCGCCCTGGAGAAACTTCAGTCAACTGCCTCAATACCTAGGCCTTCACATCGAGTGTATGCTTCTTGTCGTTGCGCTGGCATCCTGTGCTTCTCTTGAAGCTTGAAGTGTCATGGCAGGCTTCAAACGAAGCTACATTTCAATCCATCTCAAGCAACGTTTAAGACCTGCCCGTGGGCAGGTTCACCCGACTACAGTCACGTGAAGCTTCGAGAATTGAACCTGGCCCAGTAAAAAGCGCCGTTGCACGAAAGCCAAGATCCCTACAGGACAACTTCCTTCGACCAGGCTGGGAAATAGCAGCAGAGGCACGCTGCAGCAAATCGAAGGGGTGGGCGTGCAAATGGGCGGCAGGATTCGGGATCCCTTCAGAACTGCCGCGCCGCTCGCTTGCGCGCGCGCGCCTTCCACGCCCTCCTCCTCCTGCAGCTGGCCCCCCAAGATCTTCACACGGCCGGTGGAGTCCTGACACACAGACTTGCCAAGCCGAGCGGAAGGAACGCCAAAAGTTGGAATCCCGGAAAACCAGACTCCCCTCGCGAGTTCATGTCAACTTGATTTAACTTGCAGGAGGAGCTTCCGTTGGTCTTGGCTATTTGTGCTGAACTGTAGGGTGCTCCTTGACATGACTTTTGGCATCCAGGCGACTTTATGTGAGACATGTTTGGGCCCAACCCCCGTAGGCATTCGGCTGCTCATCTCACGCGCTTAGCTCACCTGCAGCCAAACAAACGCGCCTGAAGTTTGACAGTTTGGCGACCCCCATTGTGGTAGCAACGCAACGCCTCGTCTGGAGAGGGTTGGTCAAGCTGATTTCTCGCAGGATGAAATCACAATTTGCTGAACAAGGTTTGGCGACTGGCATGGAACCAGAACAAATGCTCATTCACAGAAACAACCTGTGAAGACCATTATTCAGTTTCCATGCTGGCCTTCTGTGGCGTATAGCTGGCCACTTTCGTAAGGCAGGCTGCACACTGGTATTGAACAGGTCACACACACCCAGCAATGTCCGGTCCAGCACTCCTCCCCCCCTCCTGAATCAAACTGTCAACGGTCTTCAGGGAGGCGCATACAGATTCTCAGCCTGAATGCTCTTAGGCCTTCCTAGTTGTGGCATGTTGCGTGGGTGTTGAAACACGAAGTTGGAGCACTATTTGCTGGGAAGCTTGTGACACAGAACTAAAGGCATGGAACCAGCACAGAAGGGACGTCCATTTCCTTGGCTCACTTCAGCCAATATCCTTCGTAGAAATGGTGCCCCATGCCGGACGCCGGACGCCGGACTTCGGGGCCCCTGCGGCCACAGCTCCCATCGCGAAGCGGGGTGTCCAGGGAGCGCGGGACTGGGCAAGGCGGAGAGGTCCAGAAAGGCACAGGGAAGTTGCCGGCCACATCGGACCACACATCACCAACTGTGCCCGAAGTTACAGACGAGGCCTGCTTCATTGTGTTTTGCTGGGGCTCAAGGTCAAAGTCTTCTGCAAGTTGACCATGCTTCCTGAGTTGTGTTTTCAAAATAAGGAATTGGCCGCCTTGACTTTGAGGATGCTTCTCCTTGATGCCAACGTGTTGGTGGTCTTCATGCCGTTAGACGAATGCGCCAACGGGGGGATCCCCTCCAGCCTTGCAGCCAAGGGTTAGTCCCTTCTGGCAAATTGGGGGACTCGGCCAAGGGCGATGTAAGCAGTACCCGACTCATTCGGAGAGGACATCCCAAAAGGCAAGGGATTCACCGGGTTGCCCATCTCTGGTTACCATTATTCGGCAAGGCCTACAAGGGCCTCCTTCCACATGCCCCAACCTGTGGACGGCCGAAATCCATTTCGCGCCACCTACACATCCCTTGAATTTTGAGTCCCCTGTAAATACCAGCAAACAATGTTTTCCCCATGGGGACGGATTTCGCAACCCACGGTAGCCGGACCTCGAAGACGTCGTAGCTGCCCTCGCGGCGGTGGGTAAAGCGCATCAGCGACCAACCTGAGAAGGTGGCGTCCGTCAGCGGCGTGTTGTGGATGGATGCGGCTTTGCTTGAGCAAACCAGCATATGGGCAGGTGCCGAAAAGGGGCACACCCAAAATGCTCCTGTCTTACAGAAACCAGCCCGAAATGGCAGTCTCCCCTGTTGCGGTCCATTTGAAGTCCTATGCCCCACCAGGACACCGACAGATCCTAAAGTGAGATGGGCTGCACAAGGCCTGGAAAACTCTTTTGGCGAAAAAGGGAGCTTGGGATTCCTGCCACTGGAAGCATTCGCGTGACAGTTTTGCAGCGGTCACCTGCCGTAGGGGTGGGGGGGATTGGTTGTGGAAGCACAATGTTGCCTGCTTCACTTGTCAGGTTTGGACTTTCAAATGATGGATGCGCCTCTCGGAAGCTATGCGAAGTATGCTTGCTGTCCAGACACACACGGATCATACAACGGAAAGGCCGAAGCTTGGTGGCTACTGACTTGTAGACTCAAGTAAGGCAACAAGACCCAATTCTTCATCACAAGCAAGCCCACGTTCCCCCCTCTGATACGTTAGCCGTACCAACCTTACGGCCTTTGTCTCCCACTGCACATGCAAATACCTTTCAGTTGTTCACCTTGAAGTAAACCTGACCCGCAAACCGAGCACCCGCAGCGCTTGCAACATTTGGAACTTCCTTGCCACCAAAGCCACCGTCGCTGTCTTCCAGCCACACGTCGTGGTGAGCCTTCGACAACTGAGTCCCAACCCATCGCCGTCTTTCTATGCCCGGGTTTATCACACATAGGACGCCGCCAAGCATGAGGGCCTCTAGGGGGATAGTCTTGCGGGCTAAGAGAGGGCATACAATACACACAAGTGCAGGGGTGCTAATTTACGAGGCTATGACTCCGAGACCCGAGTCCATGCTGTGGCTGTGAATGCGATAGAAGGCACTGGAGGCACACATCTTGCAATATGTCCCACTACAACATTAATCTGACCAGAAATGGTGGGCGAACCATGTCCACAGGACCAAATGGAAGGGTTGCATCCGGGGTCATGGCCAGTGGATCACAAGAAACTCCAGGTCACAACCTCCGTCTTGGATTCCGTGCCTTAAGGCAAGTGGCTGTTGTATTTCTGGGCATTCCAGAAGTCCTATGTTCGGATCTATATGTCTGACACCACAAGGGAGCCCGCCGACATTTCCCGTGTAGCGGGCCCGGGGCTTCCCTGACATGCCGACGCATCAGTCCGATGGAATGGAAGCTACCAGCCTCATACAGTCGCCGAATTGAAGCGTTGCACGGGAATGCCCAACAGGGAAAAGCGTTGCTGAGCACTGGGGCTCACACAAAGCCGTCATAGCCGCCAAGAAGATAAAGACCTTGCCCGAAGAGTCTGCGAGACCGCGCACTTGAAAGCAGCTCATAACACCCGTCACGGGCACTACAACAAATAACGAGTTCTTTGAAGACTGTAATCCATGCTTTCCTCTTGCCGAATTGAACAACATCGAGGCTCAAACTGCCACAGAGTCATGTCCTGACCATGGCCAAGCAAAGCTTCCGAGTTTCCCGGCCAGAAAAACGTGGACTTGCTGCTAGTTGAAAGGGAAAACGAGGAAAAACCAAAAGGCAAGTTGACAAAAGGAAAGCCAAGTCTGACACAATGGTTTGCTTGTCCCAGCATCCGACAGGAATGACCAGCGTGCGGCTGGGATGTAGGCTGCTACGTTCAATTCAACAGATTTGAAGACTGCCGCACTGGCCAGGCAAACGCTACATGATAAGTTGGGGCATTGCCGTCCATCGGAAAGAGAAGCGGACAATGACACTTCCCAGGGCATGTCTTTCTTGCACATGGTCCATCCAGAAACAATGGTTGACTGAAATGACCCCGAAGCAAACCAATGTTACAAGCCAAATCAAACAGATGGCAACAGCTTTGGTCTTGACGCCCTGCGGCAGCCAAGCCCCACGGAAAATCAAGTTAGACGGGCTAAGATTACCAGCAACTATGGAATGACTTCAGCAACTTGAAGGCAAACTCGAGCTTGAATGGTTCCTTTGGGTTCCGGCTGCCATTTTGCAAGCCGCCAGGCCTCGGTTGCAATGGGCAGGCTGCAGGCGCCGCATGCTATGGTGTCCGAAATGGACCGTTTTGCAGCAACCAAACTTACTAGAAGGCGTTTCAACTTGGCAAATGCCAAGCAACAAAATCTGTGGGATCCAAGCCTCGGTTGGCCACAGAGCTTCAATTCGACATGCGTTTCGACAGCTTGGAGCTTAGAGCTTGTGGGGTCTAGGCACCTCTCCCAGGTGTGCAATCTTTGGGGCGTAGCGGGCCACAACAGTTGCACGGATTTGCAAGATCACGTGGCATCCTTATAATATACTATACCGTTGGTTACCAAGAAGGGCGCTGCCAACACCGGCACATCAACACAACCAATCAACATCGTTCATGTGTTCCAAGCACATGGCTTAACTCCAGCATGACGCGCTCCCAACATTTACTTGCCCACCGATGCGCACAGGTTTCGTGTCAGCACGTGCCGGCCTGCGAGGCAGTTGTTGCACGCCACGGGGTGGGCAACAGGTGCTCGCATGCCCACGTACTGAGGCCTGGCAATTAAAAAGGTCTAAGCATACCGTGCAAAATGACCAAAGGCACGCTTGGAAACTATCAGTGTACTTGAAGCTCTGCTGGAATTTTCGGTCATCCGATGGACACGCCCGTGCAAACCCAATCAGTGGCAAAATGAGGGGGGTGCCCCAAAATGGGCATTCATCAATGGTTGCACTCTTCCGTCGCCCAAAAAGGAGCAACACTTCGACCAATTTTCTTCGAACACACACACAAAGAAATGCGTCTTCTCTTTTGAAGGCTTCCCTAAAATTCCTCTTTCTCCAGAATCCGGGGCGGCAAATTCCTTATTTCCCCAGTTCTGAGCGACCGGCACACGGACAAGTCCAAAGGAGTGCCGACCCTGGGCACAGGCGTCCAAGAGATGGGTCTAGGCACTCTGTCTTAGCTTCCCTGCAAAAGGTTGCGGAAAACGGAAAATGATTGTTTTTCCGGCAGGAGCTCCGTTGATTGACTCGGGCGTCGATGGGCACCCGACGTTCCAGGGTGCTGCCAGGACCACCGCCTGCCAGGTCTTGCCGAGGTCCTCGAGGCGTTCGGAGGGGCTCAAGACGATGAAGATGTAAGATGATGCAAGAACCCTCGGAGTGGTAGGTTCAAGGGACACCGCTGACTTTGATCAGGCCCAGAAACAGTTAAAAAGGAACCCTTTCAGTAGCCGGAAGCCCTGGCTTCAAGTTTAGAAACGTGGCCGACGATCGCAGAAACCCAGTTGGCCATTGGCAAACGAGCTTCACATTTTGTCTGTTGTTCATGTTTGGTGAATGTGTTCCAGTCTGCCTACGAGCCTGCGGTGTAAAGGTTATGGTTTGGCCCTTGATACGGATTGGCGAATGATAAAATACGGTGCCCGCAGGTCAATCAGCAGCGAGTTAGTCAGCATAGTAAGGCAGAGAGAAAATCGTCAGTGAGTGAGTGAGTGAGTGAGCGAGCGAGCGAGCGAGCCAGTGAGAGGACCAAGCTGTCCGAACCCACCCAGCCATTGCCGCCACCCGCCCCCCAACAATATGCATGGGTTGTTTCTGGTCCATACATGCACCTATGCATGGATGACAAACCTAAAGATGACAACAAAAAGCTAAGAGACGGAGGTCCCAATCCCAACGGAACACCAAGGCTTCGAAGCAGCCTGTGAGGCCCAGAGGTCGTTGAAGCCCCCGCTGCCATGGCCCCCCAGACCGCCCGTAATGTAGAGACCTAAGCTCGGGTGGCCAAACCTCTCCACCAGGACCAGGCCTACGGCTCCAAGCGTTTTTGGTCGAAGTGAATCCTTGCAAACCGATCTAGGTGAATTATAATATTTCACCAAGCTGAAACTTGCGGTGGTTGGGGGGCTAATTATTCCCCACATCAACCACCATTTGGGGTGAATTCGGACGTGCGAGGTCGAAAACAATCACCCAGACTGATCCAAACCAACTCTGGAAACCCAGCGCCGGGGGCATCGAGGCTTCTCAAGCCCTGCACTGAAGCAATCTTGGGTGCTGTAGATCCTAAAGTTCCAACCCAATAGCAGTGGAGCAATACATGGATCCGTCAGTTTGGAGGTCGACCAAACTTCTCAGCGTTTCATGGGCACCTTCAGGCCGTGTGACAAACGCAAGCAGTCAAAGTGAGCAGCCTAAGCAGGATGGACAGATGCGGCTCTCCCAGAACCTTGCTCACCCGTCATGCACATGCCATGGTCCCAAAGGACATGGAGATAAAAAGGGCGCCAGCAGAGGAGGGCATTGCCGGGCAACATCAGCCTACAGTATGTGAAAGCCCGGATGATGCCACTCCCCAAGACAGTAGGGTGCAAGAAACATATTCCCACGTCGCCAGCTCTCCATCACTTGCGAAGGTTGGATTGCACAGTCGGGAGTCTAGCTAGAACTACTTGTTGCCACATTTTTCTGCTGGCACACCAAGTCACAAAATGGGCATTTGTCAAAATAGGGCGTCCCAACATATTGAGAGTTTTCTTTTAATTTCCCATTCAAACCCCCAAAAAGAGCACCCTCACAATAATCCAAATCTGGCATGGCAATCATTCTTGGTTTGGGTTCTTCCGGCCACCGAGGGCGCGACGGTCTGCTGAGTCGATCACTGCCTCAGACGAGGCTTGAGCTGCCCAGCATGAAACCCGGACATCAACAAGGCCACATACTGTGGATGGACGAAATCCTGCACCACCTAAGAAACCCTGGAATGATGAGCCCCCTGAAAATACCAACAAACAAGGGTTTCAAATGGTTTGCAAATGGTGCAGGACTTCGTCCATCAACATATTGTACTACATGTGAGAGAGCCAAATCCCAATGGTCAAAGTTCACAAACAATTGGAGTTAGACAAGCGAGGTTCGCAACTCTTGTGAAACGATGTGTCAAAAACGATATATTGTGGGGTTCTCAAGCAAGAGGCTTTTCAAACTGGCTTGCCCTAGAATTTTAAGCCATGATGGGGTCGTTTACACAGCTTTCCTTTGAAATGACCCCTGACCGAACGCAAACACGTTCTAGAAAGCTGTTTGATGCAAGGAAGCTGCGCTTTAGTCGAAGGGAAAAGCGTCGCAAGTGAGAAAAAAAGTGGCAACAAGGAACTGAGATCGATAGTCTAAACTCTCATTTCAATTCTTGGTTCCAAGCACAGAGCTCCCCATTCGGGGAACTTTGCGGATAACTCTACAGGCAGCAGTCGCAAAATCAGCTTCGATCTGAGCTCCATCCGCACACCATGTACAAATCCCTTCGCATGAAATAGGCCCTTTTGCAGGACAGCAAAAGCTCACAAGGTCGGCCACGATCTGCAGGGCATCCCCACATTGACCCACTCAAGGGAAACTCCACCTTCCCCTGGACTCGCTTTCCTCCCCCCTGGCTCTCTCTCTCGCTCTCTCGCTCTCTCTCTCTCTCTCTCTCTAACGGCTTGCCCGTGCTTTAGAGATCTGCACGAGCTTAACCTTAACACCGGAATTGTCAACATGGTGGATTCTCAGGGGGGCTCCCCCCAGGAGTGAAAGATCCCCACATTGCAACTCATCCACGGAGTTATTCATCTAAGTTCCCGTTGGGTATGAGAAAGGCTGGACAATTGCGTCCGGGTGATGGCGAAACTGGGCCACATCTTCCACAAGGACCCCGATCTTCTTCCAAGCCACGCCGAACAGCTTCCGCGGCGTCCAGGGGGGACTGCCAGTCTGCAATACCTAGCCGATGGATTGCCAACCGCCAGCCGCAAGGAACTTGAAGCTTCTGGCGGGGGGGCGACTGAATGCCGAGCAGAGTTGAGTTTGGGAGCTAAAGCTTGCGCTGGTGAAGCGGCCAGGTGGGTGATCTGCTCTCAGCTGAGGCAGCCCAACACGGCACAACCTTGATGGCTCAAACTTATCTACCCCAATGGCCCAGGGCCTCGGAAGCTTCATGCGCCAACCCCCCCCTCCAAACGAAATGAGAAGAATTGCAAACTTCGTGGGATGCAATTGGTGGTTCGTGTGTCATGGCATATCTAACCACATTTGGGAGTTTTTTGAGGGTACTCCTTTTTGGGGGTTTTGAAGGGAAACCAAAGGAAACCCGAAGCCATTTTGGGAGGGTTCCTTATCTACCACTGGCCTTTGAATGGGACCCGATGCCAATGGTTGGCTTCATGTTTCCACCAACAAGGGCGGCCCCCGAGCTTTCAGACATCTTCCCAGGCACGATCCTTGGAAGAATGAACAGGTTAGAGAGAGCGATTCGTGAAACTCATCCAGTCGCAACAACAACTCAGAGGAGGTGGACGTACACCACGAAACGGCGGGTTTGTCTCACAAAAAACAAACAAACTCTCAAGCCCGGCCCGCTAGCAGATCATGACCGGGGCAAGTGGAAACCCACATTTGGATGCTAGTTGAGTCATGAGCCTTGCCCACGAGTCAAAAGCGCCTACTCCCCGATGCCTGCCCTGTCGAAAGCTGAACGCTGGGCTCCGGGCCCAGGTTTGGCCATCCACGCTGTGCCACACATCGTCTCAGGGCGGCCAGTTGATTCTCTGTGTATCTCGTTGTTTGCGTTTCGGCAAGCGCCAGTTTTTTCTGGTTTGTTTTATGGCAGCCCAGTGAAAACAAAACAAAATGGTGGTTGTCCTTTTGGTTTCTGGCTGTCATGCTGGTTTCTCTTAAAAACCACAAGAACGAGTCCTCTCAAAAAAGGGATCATGACTGCTTCTTCTCTAGTTGCTTCTGATGGTTGGCTCGAATCTTGGCTATTCTTTGCCTGGGGCAAAACCTTGGCAACCAATCAAGCAACCACTTGAAGGCTCCTTGGTTTTCGGACTCACCTCTGCGGACTGCCATTGTTCCTAACATGCCACCAAGCTTCCAAAAGCGCCCCACTTCTTGCGCATTTCTAGTGGAACATGAAAGAATCATCCCATACGCAATCCCATGGGTATACCCATACATGTAGATGTATGTGTATATTATAAACAACTAGCTATATGAATATATAAGCAATTAACTAAACATAGTACATACCTATAAATACTACATCTATAGATATATATATATACATATGTGTGTATAAAAACATATTATATGTAGACATCAGTTTGTATTATCCCTAGGTACACCCAATGACCCCCTCCAATTCTCCGGGGCCCCGGCTCTTCGGCACGGACTGGACGCCGGGGAGCCCGCCCTGGTCGCCACCCAGCAGCAGCAGGTCACCGCTCCTCACGATCTTGGCGCCCCATAAGCACCACAGGTGCCGGGGCACGGGGCCAACATCCTGCTACCTTCCAATTCCATTCTTTCCAGGGATCCGGATCTTTCTAGAAAACCTCCGGAAACCAGGGAAACGGCGGGTTTTTGAAAAGAACCATGGTTGAAAAGAATGGGGAATCAACCTGTAGAAACATAGATGGCACTGACAAATGGACGGAAAACTAATCTAACGTGGACTGCCATCTATGTCTAACCAAACTAAAACCAACAAGGATACCTATGAAGAAAAGTCCTCCCCCAGTTTGCTTTCATCTACGGCTGGGTGACAAATGCCAATGTTCTCATGGTTTCCCCGAAACTTTCTCAGGGAATTGCACCGTCTGCTTTCACCACTGGTGTGCCTGAATGTTTTCTGTCATAATATGGCCATTGCATTTGCCACACCAGCGGAGGTTCCAAGCCTCCACATCTGGGTCAACGGTTTTTCTTCTAGATGCTGCCCACGACAGGTGGCTCGAATCATTGAGCAACCTAAGAAGTCGTTTGGAGCGGGACGATGTTCGGAGCGGCAACAGCAAAGGTTAGGCCGGGTGACTCTACATGGATTCCAAAAATGGTGGGTAGGATGGAACCCGTTTGTTAGAACTCGTTTTAAGCTCCCCGGTCCAGTTGCCACATGCCGGGAATGTTTGGCGTCACTCGGAAGCCCTGGCGGAGGCTGGTGTCCAACCGCTAACTCCGAAGGCACCCAGAATAAACACATGTAGCAAAATGACTCAAAACATCTACAGAACTTATATGGGAATCGAACAGATGTGGTTCGAGTGGATAACGACGTCCCCTCAGAGTAGCCTGCTGAATGCAACAAGCTGCGCAGTGGTCGGCAGCGCCTGGATTCTTTTTGTTGCCCAGTGCATGAGCAAACGGGCAGCGCCACATGGTCCAAACGAGGCAGCCAGCAGCCACGGCCTGTTTTGGTTGAAAGGGAGTGCAACCTTGTCATGACTACTCGGGGCGCCAGGATGTTTGAATTGCGGGTCTGGCATGCCCATTGTAGTTGACACGGCCGTCAGGCCGGAAGCTTCGCGTTTCTTGACTGGCTCGGCCGGCTGGCTTATCACAAGCAGAACGCATGGGCAACCAAAAGGGCATGCAACAGCCAAGCAAAGGGGTTTTACAGCCGAACGCCGCAAAACATGACCCGCTTGTGACATTCGTGCTAATGGCAGAAACTCAGCTTGATGCCAGCAGCCTGCCGAGCCCGCGGCTCAAGACAAGAGCTCAGTCTCTTGTAGATCAACGACCTTGAACTTCTGCACACTTTTGCTGATCAGTGGCTTCTTGTCCTCAGTTTGGACCAAGCAAAAACATCAAACCTACGGTGGATGCTTTACATACCAACCACCAAAACCATTGTAAAATCACGGTGATTAAGTGAGAGGAGTTTCTGGCTCCCTGGCTTGCAATACTTCGGGCATCCACCAAACAAATGGGCTCGAGCCGATGATTGGATCACAACAGAAAAAAGTACCCCTCTCCATACATTCTTAGGGGTGGGTATGAGATTCTAAGTGATTCGAGACCTTATTTCGGATCATGGATGTTTTTACGGGGAACTGCCTCAACATGGTTGGTGGACCTAAACCCCCAGGGAAGGACGTTCTGCAAAAAGTCCAAATCCAAAATTGCACCTGCCATATGTTCCCTTCTTCGCCTCTAGAAGTTGTTGATCCACCAACCTCCGGTGTCAAACGGGCCAAAGCTCTCAACATGTTGGGACCATTGTTTTAAACATGTTTTTTGGACACCAACCAGAAAACAAAGAAACAACACATCAAAACCACAGCCGGAAAGGGTCAGACTTCTCTGTTCCTCACACCAATGGCTTGCGTTTCTCTCCGGAATTTCTGGACACCGAAAAACAGAAGAAGAAAAAACACAAAAAACAAAAAACAAAAGGAGAAAAAAAAGAGGAAGAAACCACCAGGTCAGGCGGAAAGGTCGTGATGCCAATGATGCCAAGGGTCTCCATACTGAAAGGCCCCCCAGGCTTTGGTGTAGGCCTTGTCCTTGTGCACCTCCAGGGCCTCGTTGGACTCGAAGACCTGTGGAACCACCGGGAGGTGTTGACTTTTTGCTCACCCGAGAAAATGCACAGGGAGGGACTAAACCGAGAGTCAACGGGAAAACCCACACTTCAAGAAAGGAAAACTAGCGAGTGAAACATATATCTGGAGCTCCCTCTTTAAAACATACATGAAGCCACCCAGTCAATCATATATTCAAACCTTTGACGACAGAACATGCGTCGGAGCGCTTGGCAAAGCAAATGCCTCCTCGATAGCGGAAAAGGTGGTTCCTTTTTAAGAAACACCAGCAACCGCCACAAACCTTTGAAGGCGTGCCTTGAAAATTGCTGGAACCCACCCTTGGGTCACATCTGGGATCCACACCGCCAGCTCACTTGAACAAGGTGGCATCGCCACATGTCGCCAAAGGTAGTGAGACCCACATGTACGGGAACTTCCTGCTTTCGTGAAATTGCCCATGCAAGTGATCCCCAATTACCTTGGGCTCTAAGGACTTCTTTCCTTCGCGGGAGGCACCCCCCACCTGCAAGCCTCCACTGTAAGCTCCTATGAGACGAGAGGCTTACGAATGGCTTTCTCATGTGTTCTCGTCTCGGAAAATCACGCAACGAGCCGAACGCAGAAGCCCTTTACACGCCCAGTTGATTTGCACAAGAGAACTAGGGATTCCCACAGCAAAGGGATGTCAAGTCACAGGGCTCGACCGTCCTTGGGTTCAGCCGACAAAGGATTACAGAGGAGCCTTGGAAGCTGCAGAAACGGGGTCAGTTTCAGCATAACTTTGCCCTCCGGCCAATATTCTGATTTGCTCAGTTGCCCAACACATGTTGATTTTGTGGAACCTTTGGTATTCCCTTGTTTCCCGGTCAGCTATGGTGAAAGGTTCCAGCCAACCAGGCAATGAAGTCAATGTACACCTCCTAAGCAAAGCCAGCAGAACCAAGCGGAAGCTACCAAAAGCCTGGCAAAGTTGCCCTGAGCCATGAGCCTCCCCCCTCCCAATTGCCCAGAATGAAGGCGCCTCATAAGTCATAAACTTGTTCCCCGCGCGGAGGAGGTCAAAGCGAATGCAGCCTTCTTCCCCGCGGGACCCACGACAGTTTCCGCCCATGACCTGCGTCCAAAGCATTTTCGGCATCTTTCGGCCACTTGATGCCTTAAAAACAGTACTGTACTGCATGGAGACCTGGTTCCATACTCAAAGCGGCCAGGGCAGCATGCATCCACTCGACGAAGATATTTCAATTCAGCTTTTCACACAGTCAACACTAAGAATCTACATCAAGGTTTGCCGAAGGAGTTTGATATGCTACGTGGATGCATAGCTACCATGCAATGCATTCGTAGGCACATATCACATGAGCCTATGGGTTCGAAGTCCGTTGGTTTTCGGAGGGCCTTGCCCTTGGGATGACAAATGCCAGTCGATAGGTTGCCACGGCAAATGCTCTGGATGTCAGAAGTCGGCACGTGCAGTATTTGGGTCACCGCAATCCCAGACAAGATTATACAAGTGTGCTTTGCACTGCTATGCACGGCTCAGTGTGAGTGATTGCCATCTGCATGGCAAGGTATCCATGTTATAGTCAGACGGTGTTGTTTGATTTCGCAACTGTCCACCGACCATCACCGACCTCTGGCCGGTTGCCGAGGCGCTTCCAGAAACTCCGGAATGCATTCCTCCTTCACGTCCCCGGTGAAAAGGATCACCATGGGACTGTCCTGCGCGTACCAGCGCTGAATGCCTGCTGCCAACAATTGCAGCGGATAGCGTGTGGAGTGAATATTGATTCTTCAAAGCAGCTTGGCCGAGCAAGGGCTAAGGAGCATGCATAGAGTAAAAGACACCGCAAACACAACCGCTAAATGCCGGTCCACGCCCCTGGCTGAATGACCATTTGCCAAAGGCATTGGCCAACTAGTGCGCTACACAAGCTTCTTACAAAACGAGTGCCAAGACAACATATTGTGGCAGCCAGCTCTGCTCCTACACTGTTCACACCCTTTGTCAAATGGAACCGGGTAGAAGCCTCTGCCTGTTGCAATGGGTAACCTTAACAAGTACGACTACCTCATGATCCCCCTCACTTGAGGGATGGACGTAACCCTCTCGATGGTAGACGAAAACTCGCATATGAACTTGCATCTGAGAACTTGCAGAGGGCCAGCCACGGTTTTGGCACTTCAAAGTCATTGGACCCTCAGCTCACGGCTCACGGCTCAATTCCATGCTCGGCTCCTTGGGCGCAGGGCACTGGCTCTGAAAGTTGAGCGCCTCCGTCTGCAGAACGTTGTTGCTGACCTGAGGCACCAGCCCAGTGAACCAGGGGGCCTGGAAATATTCGAAACAAAACCCATCCCCATATTGGCGTCCTTGGAAGAATTCAAAGTATTGACGATTTAGCATCCAAATATGTTTCCTTATGCGCACCGCCTCTAGCAAAACCTCTCCAAATACATTCGGCACGACAACCTGTGGCTGACACAATGAGGCCATCGGCACCATCAGTACTCCTTCATCAAGCGGCAGCCTTGTCTTGGTACAACATTCGAAATTCGGAACAACACTGAGACAAAATTTGGGAAATATGGGGGAACAACACTCAGAACCACTGGGAAAACCTCGGGACAAATCCTGTGGGCTGGGGGGGGTCCAGCACAGAAAGGCCGGCCGCGCCCTTTTGCTGCCCAGCGGCGAAGGGCTGGGAACTCTGGAAGGCCTCCATCGCCTGGGCCTGGGCACGGGATCGATTCGGATCGATGGATTGGAGCCGAGCTGTGATCCGCTGGAATTTATTAAGATCCCTAAAATGTGTCTATGAACGCTTGGCTGGACGTTTTGTTGTTTGGTGGCGCGCGGGGGGGGAGGGGGTGATAACATGAAAGCAAGCATTTATCTGCAAATCGAACGTGAGCTATATAGGGTACAGCGTTGCCAGCCCCCCCCCCTCCCCCCCAATGGTCATGGGTCAGACAAATACCCCCCCCCCTGTGGTTGTGGGCCTGTGGTTGGGTTTAGGGTTGGTTTAGAATTGGTTTAGGGTATATTTAGGGTGTATTCGCCGACATTGCTTGGCGTGTCGGACACCTAAGAGAGGATAGAGGATAACCCCCCCCCCTAACCCCCCCCCCACCCGACGTCTGATACGTGGGGGGGGGCCCCCCCTCCCCCCCCCAAAAACCGCGCGGCAATTTGATGACGTTCCACTAAACGTAGTCTTCGGGGAGCCGGTGTCGCAAAACAGGGGTCCCAGGCTCGATTCCCCCTGCCGGCTTTTTTGCTGGCTTGGGCTTCCTGCATCCTTTTGCCGAAAATCTGGCAAAACTCTGTGTTTTTGGACATCCTCTTTGCGAAAACGCTGGAAAACCGTGTTGTTTGCGGGAAATACTGGGGAGCAAAGGGGAAGTGCAAGGATACATACATACATACATACATACATACATACAGACAGACAGACATACAGAACACAACATTACATTATATTACTTTATATTAGTGTATATTACATTACAGTACAGTACATTACATTACATTACATTACATTACATACATTTCATACATACATTACATTACATTACATTACATTACATTACATTACATTACATTACATTACATTACATTACATTACATACATACATTACATTACATTAGGTTACATTACATTGCATTGCATTGCATTACATTACATTACATTACATCACATCACATCACAATCACATGCATACATACATACATACATACATACATACATACATACATACATACATACATACATACATACATACATACATTACATACATACATACATACATACATACATACATACATACATACATACATACATACATACATACATACATACATACATACATACATACATAACATACATTACATACATACATACATACATACATACATACATACATACATACATACATACATACATACATACATACATACATACATACATACATAAAAACATACATACATACATACATACATACATACATACATACATACATACATATCATACATATCATACATATCATACATACATACATACATACATACATACATACATTACATTACATTATATTACATTACATTACATTACATTACATTACATTACATTACATTACATTACATTACATTTACATTACATTTACATTACATTTACATTACATTACATTACATTACATTACATTACATTACATTACATTACATTACATTACATTACATTACATTACATTACATTACATTACATTACATACATACATACATACATACATTACATACATACATACATACATACATACATACATACATACATACATACATACATTAATTACATTACATACATACATACATACATACATACATTACATACATACATACATACATACATACATACATACATACATACATACATACATACATACATACATACATACATACATACATACATACATACACACATACACACATACATTACATACATTACATACATAACATACATAACATACATAACATACATACATACATACATACATACATACATACATACATACATACATTACATACATACATTACATACATAGATACATAGATACATAGATACATAGATACATAGATACATAGATACATAGATACATAGATACATAGATACATAAATACATACAACATACATACATACATACATACATTACATACATACATACATACATACATACATACATAACATTACATTACATTACATTACATTACATTACATTACATTACATTACATTACATTACATTACATTACATTACATTACATTACATTACATTACATTACATTACATTACATACATACATACATACATAAATACATTACATACATACATACATACATACATACATACATTACATTACATTACATTACATTACATTACATTACATTACATTACATTACATTACATTACATTACATTACATTACATTACATTACATTACATTACATTACATTACATTACATTACATTACATTACATTACATTACATTACATAACATTACATTACATTACATTACATTACATTACATAACATTACATTACATTACATTACATTACATTACATTACATTACATTACATTACATTACATTACATTACATTACATTACATTACATTACATACATACATACATACATACATACATACATACATACATACATCATTACATACATACATGCATGCATGCATACATACATACATACATACATACATACATACATACATACATACATACATACATACATACATACATACATACATACATACATACATACATACATACATACATACATACATACATACATACATACATACATACATACATACATACATACATACATATACATACATACATACATATATTACATACATACATACATACATACATACATACATACATACATACATACATACATACATACATACATACATACATACATACATACATACATACATACATACATACATACATACATACATACATACATACATACATACATACATACATACATTACATTACATTACATTACATTACATTACATTACATTACATTACATTACATACATTACATTACATACATACATACATACATACATACATACATACATTACATACATACATACATACATACATACATACATACATACATACATACATACATACATACATACATACATACATACATACATACGAGAGAGGGAGATTGGGGAGAGAGAGGCTTGGGGGGATGGGGAGGTTGGGGAGCAGAGGGAGGGAGAGAGGACGACAGAACACACCAGGGAGACAAGGGAGAGAGGAAGAAGGAGAAAAGGGAGAGGACAATGTCGGCGGACTGAGCCGGAGGCTCTAAAGTTTAGGGTTAGTTTAGGGGTTGGTTCAGGGTTGATTTAGGTTGCTTTATGTTGATTTAGGGTTGGTTTAGGGTTGGTTTAGGTTTAGAGGTGTACGGTTTAGGGTTTGGTTTAGGGTTTGGTTTAGGGTGTATTTAGGGTTGGTTTAGGGTTGGTTTAGGTTTAGGGTTTATTGTTTAGGGATTGGTTTAGGGTGTATTTGGGGTTAGTTTAGGGTTGGTTTAGGGTTAGTTTAGGGTTGGTTTATGGTGGGTCCTGGGGGTGGGGGTGCCGGGTCGGGGTGCGAGTTCAGGGGGTCGGGGTGGGGGTGGGACCGTTCTCGGGCCGGGGGGGGGGTCCTGGGGGACCATACCATATGCGGGGGGGGGGGGTAGCAACACGGAACACGGGACCATATATAACATAATGATGGAGCCCCCAGCCTTGAAGCCTTGCGAGGATACTTCAGCCACTTCATCCCAGAGTTTGCCTTTCGACATATGCCTTGGGAAACTAAGAGGTTTGTGTGCGTCTGCTTTTTCAGGCAACCCTTGAATTTCCCAAAAGGAAAGGTCTGCTGCAAACTTGGCATGGACCCCCACCCTAAATCGAATACATGCCCCAACATAGTGCTTCTACCATGTTGGGGCTTGCATTACTCTTGGAAAGGATAGCTCTACCTAGATGCCTGATGCCCTTTTGGGATAAAACAGATGCGGCTGGAAAATGATATGTTGTGTTCAACCTAGCTGACTTAAACAGGACGCCCATGTTCGGCTGCAGGGGTCTCAAGGCAAAAGTCAATAACGCTGTTATTTGTCACTCTCCGAGGGGGGATGGTCAATTCCCAGGGTCGCTACTGTGGCAGTTGTCCCAATTATCGCTTTAATAGCAAGTCCCCCCCCCCCCCCGGCGCTCCACAAAAAACGAACATCAAGAACCATGTGCTTCGTCGGGAGCATTAAGAACCCCAACCGTAGCTACAGTCCAGCCTCGTAAGCATTGGCGCTTTGCCCAAAGGTTCCCCATTAAGTAAACAACATTGTTGGGCAATGCGCCCATGCTTACCAGGCTGCACTGTAGCTACGGCTGGGGTTCTTAATGCTGACGAAGCACATGCTTCTTGATGTTCGTTGACATTACAAATCACAACGAAACGACGAAACGACACATGACCCCCTTGGAACGCCACGTCAACCCCCCTTGGCTCGGCACATGGGGAGACTGCTTCTGGCTCTCCAGGGTTGCGCTGGTGAAGACCTGGCGGTGCTTGTGCGAACGCAGGAATGTTCGTTGGCCGAGTATTGCCGAGGATGTTCCGACCACTGAGCAAACTAGAAGATTTGATGCCTGGAAAATTGGTGGTTTCCATTTGGTATGCCTTTGAAAACACTTAAGTAGACAGTTCTTGCCAAAAGACACACACATGTATATGTCCCTTCCGCCTGGTGTCATCAATGGTGCCGGCGAGCCTTCAATTGAAAACAAAAAAACACGTGGCAACCACCCGAAACGACTCACCCGAAGAGGAGTGGCAACCATTGGAACAACCGTGCGCCCAGCCAAATTACTACGACAGCAGGAGCCACCTGGTCACTTGGCAGCTGAGGTAATCCTCTCTTGGATGTGCGGCTCTAGCTCCCAAACCCTGGGCACTGTTGGATCGAACACTACCCCCTACGCAAATTGCCCGTCTTTTTCAGGGTATTTTTGGGAACACCGGGTATTCCATGGTAAATACCCCCTTCATAGCCTGAAAAACGAGGGTGTTTGGAGTAGGGGGTAGCCTGGCCACTTCGAGCGGCACACCAGCAAGCAAATAAAGATCGTCCACGCAAGCATTTAAATCTGTGACTCAAGAACGAATCTTCCTTCACTCACCTCAAAGCTTCTCCCCGACGCATGGGATCCCCAAAGAAGGTTCTCAGGACAAGTCCCTCTATGCCTTGTGCACCATCTTTGTTGTGCCACGGAAGCTTCGGCACATACCAACATGATGAGGCCTTGTACATCAAGAACTGGCAGCTGCTCTCCTGTGAGCCTTGGATGCAGAAGTTTGTGATCTGGCCATGGTTCAAAACCAATGGTACCATTTTGGGGTAGGTGCACCACCCATTTTCGTCTATTCTAGTAGGGATTGGGATGTTCACTGAGGGTACGGGGTTTTGACCCATGGCCATATGGATAGGGGAACTGCTTCCAAGCGTATTTCCCAAACCTGCTGCATGCCTGCTACGAATGGCGCTGGACAACCTAAACAGGCTAAGGAAATGGCCTGTTGACCCACCTTACGGCGTCTAAATGCCGAAGGCTCGAAGCACGTCGAAGCGCAAGCAGCCCGCGTCAGCCCGCGCACCTCAGCGGGGCATCTGTCAGACTGCCCCTTTGCTCCTTCAGATCCATTGTGGTTGGCGCTGGCGTTGGCCTTGTTGATGGGTTTGTTGGTTTGTGGCTTAGGCTGTTATGCTGGCATTGTGTATTTAGGGTGGTGTAACCCCAACCTGTTAGAAACATCCAATCCAAACATCTTCTGCAATTCCCCCTTCCCCACGGATCAAGGGCAACTCTGACTGACTAGTTACCTTACCGCGCAAGCAAGGAAGCACTGCCGTTCATTCCACCACATCCTTTTGAAAGATCGACGCGCATGAAGGGAAACAAGCTTGGGTTGTTGTGAACCACACGTGCGGAAGATGGGCATCAAGGCCCCAGGCCTTCCGCCAGCGCGGTAGCAACCTGAGCTGAGCCTATGCTGAATCTGTGGGGCGCTGACTTGAAAGAGCTGGCGATTTGGTAAACAAGCGCCCGTCAAATGCTTGGCTTCTGCCCGTCTTCTACCAGAAGAAGACTGCCTGGCCCCTCGTTGCGCCGCACTCATGTCCTTTCCGAGGGTCTGAGGGGGTGCCTTTACATCCCCCTAGTCCCTGCTAGGAAACATGTCCTGTTTGGGCACAAGGAACAAGAATTGCTTCGACTGAACAACAGGGTGGTTTTGGAGGCCTTCAGGAACTCCTCGACGCATTCCGGCTTGATCTCCACCTGGACAGCACGTTTCGAAGCCCCCGCACCGTGGTGGAGATCATGTTGGGTCTGCTAAATATATAATAGGCCACCAGTCACCGGGGTTTAGGGGGCAAGTGGGGAGTCTGGGTGGGACTTGCAAGTGTCAGTACTTACTTTATAGCATTGCCTTTTCCAAACTATTACCAGGACTTTCTCGCAGAATCAGGGCCTCTTGTGGACAACCCTTGCTTGTTGTAAATGAGGGATTTGTATAATCGATGGTTTGGGGACCGCCCTAAAAACCGGATTTCTAATTGTTGCCCGGATTTGTTTGCCCAGATGTTCTTTCTTCTCCAAAACACATGCAATCAAAGCGAACCACACGATTCTGTAGGAAACACATGCCATAATGGCGAACCTGGGTTTTTGGGGTTTACAGTTACAGGAGACTTGGCCACCCGCATACCCCGTACTTCAACCGCTTCAAGCGCCGACCAAGTGGCAAACAGACATTAGAAGCGGAACACTCGGCTTTGGGCGTGGCTCTGGTTTGCGTGTCCCGCGTCATCTTTGCGCACCGATGTGCATCCGAACCACAAATTCATACCTGTCATCGATATTGATTGAGCTAAATACTAAACCGACACGAGAAAGTGCCATATTCAAGTGCTGCGACTACCATGCCGCAATGCCGTCCGCGACCTGCTGTGCAGTCAGGCTCTCAATCAGTGCTGAACTGTTTGTTTTTCAAGCATGAGTCAGCATGAACGGCACAACACGCACACAAAAGCATAAATACAGTTCCAAGGCTTCGGCACGAAACTAGGTCAAATCATTCTACATGCAGAAAAGTCGAGGGGCCTGGGTCACAACCACAGGGGCATTTGCGTCCAAGCTTGAGATCATGGTCCAATGAGGTTGGATTCCTCACGCTTTTTGCTGCTTGGCCATGAAAAGGGAGGCTTGCTTCTTTCTGGGGCGACACCGAGCCTGCTGCAACACGGCAACAGGCGGGACTCGCAGCAAATGGATGGACAGCTGCGGGCACATGCTGGTCTGCAGCCTTGGCTTCTGCACCCATTTTGCGTAGCACATGGTAAATGACACCAACAAGATGTCATTGGCTCCCACTACCCTATCCCCAAAGACCATACCCATTACGAGGCGGACTGGTCAGCTTGTTAGCTTGTGCCCCTGCTCAGCTCACGGCTGGCTACACCAATGTCTGTAACCCCTGAGGCACGTGATTGCACACACACACACACCCACCCACCCACCCACCCACCCACCCACCCACCCACCCACCCACGCACCCACGCACGCACGCACGCACGCACGCACACACGCACGCACGCACACACGCACACACGCACGTTACGCGATGTGGATTCGCTGAAGCCACTATTGCCACCAGCAGTTGCAAGTGTTCGCCTCAACAGCTTGAGTTCGCAAAGGCCCCGTTGACTTTCTCAATTCAGACACTCAAACCCTGTCACGCGCGCCAAGGGTCGGCAGGTAGTCGGTGCGAATCGCAGCAATCTTGCCTTACGGCCGCAACCGAGAAAGGCCCTCCCTGAACGGCATGGAGGCTGCCGGTTTTTCCATTCTGAACGCCGGCTGTGTTTTTTGATAGGCCCTGTAAGCAGACGGGGAAATGCTTCGCTCGCTTCATGAAACAGATGCCCGAGGGATGCCCAAACTGCCCAGGGAGCCCCAGGGTGCACAATGGACATTACACAAAAACATATTTTCACAAAAATGGACACTTCTTTGCGCGAGGAGCTTGCCCCTCGACCCAGGTGGCAAAAGCACCACCGTTGGAGCGGATGCCATAAATCTATTTCAAAGGGAACCAGGAAACTTGTAATTTGCAGTGAATTCTCCTTGGCTTCGTGGTGCATTGTATTGCTTGCTCAATGTATTGGGCATCCACCCCAGCCCAATCATGTTTTCTATTTTTCCAAGAGCATCCCAGAAGGCTGGTTGAGTATGTCGTTTCTTTTTTTGAGGGTAGCACTGTCAAAGCCAAATGAAACGGAAACCAAAAGGAAAGCCAACCAGTCTTGGGGGTCCATGAAGGTCACCTCTCCCCCCCAGAAAAAATATATACAAGCATAGGCGCCCTTTTTAGGAAAATGGATGGCCCTGGTGGTTGATTGAATCAAGTAAACCAGGGCCCCCTACTTTTCATCCAAATCAACAAGGACAACAAGAGCTCCCACCTCCAGTTCCCCGGACCCATCCGAGGCATGGGCCCAGCTGGTCCCGCTCCATGCGCTCCGCCACGAAGATGGCGGACGAGATGGCGCCCCCCAAGGCCGACACCCGGAGCTCTGCCACGGGCTCCTGCGAAACACGCGAGGCCGGGCCTGGCTGCGATAGGTGGGGAATGACCCAAACCCGGGTGTTGGGAATGCACCGCTTTTTGGATTCCCATGATTCCCTGCTGAGAACAAGCAAGCTTCTGTGGATGGCTGCGAAATCCGGAAATCGCGCCGCGAAAGGAAACCATGGACGAAACAAGAACCTTCATTGGCATTTGCAGGGAAATCATCAGAAACCAGGGTTTAGGTGGTGCGTGCGATTTCTGGATTTCTTCCATCCACAGTGAGGGATGATGACCGAAAGGTTCTGAGAGACATTCTTGTGCACACGTGCGTCTGACCGGGTGACCGTGCAAGCATCTGACCGCTCGTGCAGGGCTGTGGCTGTGGGTGCGGGTGCGATTCTGGGTCTCGTTCTGGTGCTTGCGTTTGGGGTTGTGTTGATGTGTTTGTGTTTATGTGTTTTGGTCTTTGTGTGGATGTCTGTGCTTGTGTTTGTGTGTTGGTGTGTTTGCGTGTTTGTGTGTTTGTGCTTGAGTGGTTGTGTGTTTTGCGTCTTGGAGGATTTGGGTGTTTGTGTTTGTGTGTTTGTGTTGGTGTTGGTGTGTTTGTGTTGTCCGTTTGTGCGATTCTGTGTTTGTGTGTTTGTTCTTCTTGAGTGCTTGTGTTTTGTGTCTTTGCGTGCTTGTGTGTGTGTGTGTGTGTGTGTGTGTGTGTGTGTGTGTGTGTGTGTGTGTGTGTGTGTGTGTGTGTGTGTGTGTGTGTGTGTGTGTGTGTGTGTGTGTGTGTGTGTGTGTGTGTGTGTGTGTGTGTGTGTGTGTGTGTGTGTGTGTGTGTGTGTGTGTGTGTGTGTGTGTGTGTGTGTGTGTGTGTGTGTGTGTGTGTGTGTGTGTGTGTGTGTGTGTGTGTGTGTGTGTGTGTGTGTGTGTGTGTGTGTGTGTGTGTGTGTGTGTGTGTGTGTGTGTGTGTGTGTGTGTGTGTGTGTGTGTGTGTGTGTGTGTGTGTGTGTGTGTGTGTGTGTGTGTGTGTGTGTGTGTGTGTGTGTGTGTGTGTGTGTGTGTGTGTGTGTGTGTGTGTTGTGTGTGTGTGTTGTGGGTTTGAGTATGTGTATGTGTATGTGCGTTCGTGTTCGCGTTTGCGTGTGTTTGTGTTTGTGTTTGTGTTGGCGTGTTTGTGTTTGCGTATGCGTTTGGAAGGTTTGAGGGTTTGCAGGCGTATCTGCGCATCCTACGGGGAGGCCCGTTGAACAGTTCAACACTCGGGCAATTCTAAAGCCCCGTCACAGCCACACTGCCCTGGACCTGGCTCCCATAAGCATGGCATGAAGTACAATATTTCTCCAGCCTGACATAAGGAGGTTCGGGGGCTGTTCCCCACATATATAAACCACCATTTGGAGTGAGGTCGTGTGAGGTCGTTACAATTCACCCAGATTCTTGCCTTGGCGCGGCAGTCCTTGCTATGCGTGCCCCGCAGAAAGGTCGCCGCGGCACGTGCATAGAAGGAGGCCGGCTTCTTCCTTCAGTCCAGCATGATGAGCTCAACAACATGCCGCGCTGCCAGCACACCAAAGACAACACAGAATTGTCGCCGCTTGACCTGAAGTCTACGATCATAGCATCAGAGTAATGAGGGACCCCTTCAATGATCGGTTTCACACCGCCTCCCACAGCCCACACTTTAGTTGCCGACAGGTCCTTTGCTGAAGTGTGGTCTTGAGCGATAAAAGTAATCACTGCGAATGCCCCCGATTGTATAACAAAAACATTTGCCCCGACCCCAAGTCTCCCGACACTAAATGAGACTTAGCCAGCACTAAAACAATTCGCACGCGCTGGCCCCAGTTGCAGGTGTATTGGGGACGCTTTATCACCAATACATACCAATACTATGCAGAAGCGGTACGAAAAGACCAAATGATTCCTAACTCCAGCCCCCAGGTTGCCAAGCCCATGAAGCGGGAGCGAGTTTCCATGGGATGAACCGTGAGCGAGGCTTACCACGCAGTGTTGATTACTCATCACTTACAGCACGTGTGTCCTCATTGGTCGTGAGGGCTCTTTCCAAAGGATCTCGAATTTGTCTTGGAAACAGGCGGCCGGCCCCAAGACCCTAAGACAAGCAACGCTGTGACCTTGAGCTCCGTCATGATCTCGATTTCGCCCGGATCATCGGTCTGAACTTCCGCCATTGCTTCGTTGGCTGGTCTCGGTTCGTTTGCTGCCCTGCTTACCAAAAGGCAATTGACCTACAGGGTACCTCGTCTGCAAATAAAATAGGTTTGGGCCTACAAACCTGGGTCGACATGTTGCCCATCGAACAGGATCAAAAGCCCATGCTGTTGCTGCCGGCTGCTTGTCACAGTTGTATCCTTCACATCTGCACGAAACTCTGCATGGCAGTATGGATTCGCCAAGAGTATAGAGATTCTGCATGCCCGGCGCTCTTGCAGAATGAGCTAGGCTGTTCAAAGAGCAGCAGAAGAGATACGCGAAAGCTGCAGGGAAAAGGCTAAACCTGAAAACCCTCTCGCAGCAGGGGAAATGCCCGCAAAGAACCTTTGGCAAAATGAAGAACAGAAAATAATAGTCCGCAGCTCAGCTACATTCGGAGGGCACGATGCTGGCTTTGGAGTTGCCGGCCGTGAATCCGTGCGTACTCGCTGTGCCAACCGACATGCAACGCCCAACGTGAGATTCCTTGTCTGATCTGCCAAGGCTGCCTGTGTGCCATGGAAACTTGCAACAGAACGTGTTACAGCCGCCCAACGGACAGTCCAACTATATAGTCCACAGCCCTGAAAAACAATCCATGAACCATCAAGGCTTCCGGACGGCTAGTTCGCTTCAAAAAAAAGTCGTCCAAAGGTTCCCTGAGCCAGCTACCATGCCCCTGGTATGATTTCATTTGGTATTTAAACATTGGAGGGGTAACACTTGGGATAAAACGACCAAAAGAAACATCTGCAAGTGAGGCCCCTCGCTTCCTTGAAAGGCGCAAGCCAAACTCTAATTGCTGACAACAGGTCAACATGGCCATGAAACTTAATTGAAAACACCCACCAACATGGTTGGATGATATAAATCTCGATGTATCGCAGTTTTAACCAAACGGCCCAACGCTAAAATACATGCCCACATGAGGGCACCTGGTTGCGGCTTCAAGATCTACCTACCACCCTCCTAGAAGCGCATACAGAACCTGAAAGGGGCTCGTGGACGACTGATTTCCTGCAAGCAGGAGGCCTCTTCTTGGCTCCATGCTTGATTTATGACACTGTACAGTCTTTGAATCGTATTTGCCACTTGGGTCTTCAACATCGGGCCCCCTATGGGTCGCTTTCTCTCGCTGCAAAACGGGTCTGAACTTCGGTGCCCCGACTCTTGCATCTCCTGGCGCAGAGCACTGCGTGGCCATGGCGCGCTCCGAAGTCGGCCACCTCCAGGAGACGCTGCCACTGGCCTCCGGCGACCCCGCAAGTAGCGTGCCTGGGTGCATGCCTGCGTGTGTGGGTGCGTGAGCGTGGCTCTGTGTGTATGTTTGTGAGGGTCAGTTGATTTTCTAGTTGTGCCTGTTTGTGCTTGCGCTTGTGTTTGCACTTGTGCTTGTGCTTTTAAACTTTTGCTTGTGGTTGCGTTCATCTTGCTGCGATTGCATGTGTGTGTGTGTGTGAAAGTGTGTGTGTGTGTGGGCGCGTGGATTGCTGTGTTGGTGTGCCGGTGTGTTGGTGTGCTTATGTGCGTGCGTACCTGCGTGGGTGTGTTTACGTTGGTACGTGCGTGGGTGTGCGCGTGCGTGCGAGCCTGCGAACGTGCGTGTGCGTGCGTGCGTGTGCGCGTGTGCGTGTGCATGTGCGTGTGCGTGTGCGTGTCTGTGTCTCTGTCTGTGTCTGTGTCTCTGTCTCCGTCTGTCTGTCTGTCTGTCTGTCTGTCTGTCTGTCTGTCTGTCTGTCTGTCTGTCTGTCTGTCTGTCTGTCTGTCTGTCTGTCTGTCTGTCTGTCTGTCTGTCTGTCTGTCTGTCTGTCTGTCTGTCTGTCTGTCTGTCGTGGGTGTGTGTGTGTGTGCGTCTGTGCGTGTCTCTGTGTCTCTCTGTGCGTGTGTGTGTGTGTGTGTGTGTGTGTGTGTGTGTGTGTGTGTGTGTGTGTGTGTGTGTGTGTGTGTGTGTGTGTGTGTGTGTGTGTGTGCATGTGTGGGTGCGTTGGTGCCTGTGTGTCTCTGTCCCCGTGTCTGTGTATGTCTTTGTGTGTCTGTGTCCGTGTCGCTCTTAGTTAAATGGTTTTTGGTTGTTTGACATTGGTTGCTTGGCTGTTTGCCTGCTTCGTTGTTTGTTTGCGTGCTTATGTGTGCTTTTGCATATTTGCTTGGGTGTTTGCTTGCTTGCCTGCTAGCTTGCTTGCTATGCTTGACTCTATTGCATGATGTTACTTGTTCCTTTGTGATTGCTTTGTTGCGTGCGTGTGAGGTGTTGTTCTCTGTTGGTTGTAGTGTACTAGTTTGTTTTGTTTTGCTTTGCTTACTGTTGCTTTGGGTTGCGTTGTTTGTTTCCTTGTTGTATGTGTGTGTTTGCGCGTTTGCTTGTTTGTGTTTGCTTGTGTGATTAGTTTGTTGTTTGTTTGTTTGCTTGCTTGTCTGTCCGATCGCTCATTTGTTTGATTGGGTACCACTGTTTAGCTGTTTATGCCGTTCTTTGTTTGTGTTTAACTGCTTGTTTGCTTGTTTGGTTGTTAGCTTTGCGCTGTTGTTTGCTTGCGTGGCTTGCGTGTTTGTTTGCTTGCCTGCCTGCCTGCTTGCCGGCTTGCCAGCTTGCCTGTCTGCCTGCCCGCCTGCGTGCTTGCTTGCTTGTTTGCTTGCTTGTTTGCTTGCTTGTGTGTTTGCTTGATTGGTGGGCTTGCTTGTTTGTTTGTTTGTTTGTCTGTCTGTTGGTTCGTTTGCTTGTTTCTCGTTTGCTTGCTCGATCACTTGCTGGCTTGTGTGGTTGTGTAGTTGCTTGATTGTTTGTTTGAGTGTTTTGGCTTGCTTGCCTGCTTGCTTGCAGTTTTGCTTGTTTCGTTTGTTCTTTTTTTCCTCATGTTTCTTTCTTCGTTTGTGTGTTTGCTTGTTTGTTTGTCTGTCTGTTTTCTCTATGTACGGTTGTGTTTGATTTGGATCGGCTTGGTTTGTTCGCTTGAGTCATTGTTCTCATCCGTTGCTCCTTCGTTTCTTTGGCTGTGATGGCCTGCCCACTGCAAAATTCTGAGGTTCAGGGTTGGCAAGCAACCTCGGTTTCCAGCAGGTGCTGCAAAAACTGGACTCTGTCTCTCTGCGTCTCTCACGCCTTGACCCGTCAGCACACACACAAATTTGCCGATTGCTTGCTTTTGGGGGCTTCTCTGTTGGTTGTTCAGGATGTTGGATCTGCTTTCCACGGGTCAGCCCGAACTCCCACTCACCAACCAGAACTGCACGTATAACGCTCACCTAAGATGAAGGTTGATTGCAAGGTAAATTGAGCTGTTCAGTTGGTCAGCCATAATTCAAAATGGGTTTTGAGTTCCCAGCCATGATCCAAGCATAACTACATTGATGAGTACACACCAACCCCGCATCCCTGCAACCAAGACAACCATATCGCTGAAGAAGGTTCCGTCACCCCCGCTTGGCAAGAACCCTGAGTTTCCAGGTGGGTTCACCGGATTGCCCTTTCCGGGGTGGCGAGTTAGGGCATTGGCCGCATCGAAGGCACAGTGTGCAGCCCGTAGGCCCGTAGGTGGGCCCCCAACTTCAATTCGGCGATGGAGGTTGCCCCCTTCTCCAAGCTGCGCGCATAGTATGGGAACTGCTTGGCCGGGACACTCCGCTAGCATGGATGGCGAGCTGTCTTGCTGTTGTTTGGAGTGGGTGGTTGTGTGAGATTTTGCCTCCGTGCCTGCGTTTAAAAAGCTCAATGTCAGGAGGAAACTCACTTCGGCAAGCGTTAAGCCACTTGCATAGGGGCCGCGTGGCTTGGCAAGCAAGACTCCAGTCCCTGAAGCTGGTTGGCAAGCAACTGATCTTCCTGAAGCCACTGTCATCATGCAACGGCCCTTATCCCCCTGCGAACCTTCTTGGTCTCGAGACCAGACATCGCCAAAGTTTTGGGCTCCGTCACGGCCTGGCGCGCACCCCGCTGGCCTTCCAGCTCTCGCCACTTATGCTCTCGGCACGTAATGAACGCAACGCAGCTGCGCACAGTTTTTGCACCTAAAGGGGGGAAGCAAAGCCTTGCTCTTGCAATCAGTTCGTTTATTTGCCGTCGAAGCGCTCTCTTGAACCAAAAAAATAAATTGCCACTGGAGTTTTAGGATAGCCGTGCCCGATGCATTGTGGGAATGAGGGCTAAAACAGTACCAACAAATCCGGGGGACTTCCTAAGGAAACCACAAACCTGCGTTAGATCAACTTGTTTTGCCAGCTGTGTCCAATTTGTGCCTCCGAATGGCTCCTTTGATCCAGCGAGAAGAAAACTAAGAACACCGAAAGCAACCGAGGCTGCCCAAACAAGGAGATTATTGAACATGGTTACTGCATCTCGTCTTTCAACACCACACAATTGGCAGAATTTAAACACGAATCCACCAAACATACATTGAATCCATAAGTATGAACCAACAAGCAAGATATTGGGACCTCTGGCGGACGTTGCCCACGAATCGTGTTTACGGCTTTCGTGAGGCAATTTGTGAAACCAAAGCTTGTGTACAAAGCTACCTCCTATCTTCTATCTTGGAATTCCAGCTCAGCCAGGATTTCGCTGCAGTCTCCACGCTACGTGAGAAAAACACGATCCAGCGCCTCCGATGACAAAGATTGTCCCATCCTGACACGGGTGATGGAACAAAGAGCAGCCAGAGAGCCATGCGGGTAGCAACAACAAGCAGAAAGCAAGCCGTTCGATGAACCTCGCACTCCTCACTTTGAGCTGCTGAGTTGAGACCTTTCTATCGCCACAAATTCCCAGAATTGGCAGAAGCGACACACAGCAAATTTGCTGGCCAGCAGGGAATGACGGAATGACCCTTATCAACCATCCACCTGGTGGTTTCGTTTAAGGGGGTCCTTGGTGCCCCTGGGACCCCATCCCTTCGGATTCCTTTAAGGGGACCAACGCCTGGGTTCATTCCAACTCATTCCCTACCTATCGCACCCGCAAAACCTCGGCTCAACGCTGACCTTTTGCACGGCTCCAAACGACTGAGGTGCCGGCTGGACGCAAAGCTGCCCCCAGGTACGCCTAGGCGGAAAGGAAAATGCTTGGCTTGTGAAAAGCCCTGGGAACATTTGCTGGATTAATAATAATTAGTCCAGTTCATGGATCCTTGACTTTCCTTGGGCACATGCTTACTTGCCATTCTGGCAACGGTGGATTGCAAAGCACTGCTGTAGCCCTTTTTGGTTGGTTGGTTGGTTGAAAGTCGCCTGGGAGAGTGTGAGGAAAGAGGGTGGCTACTTCATCACAGGGCTGGCTGCGTTCCAACTCCATTTGTTCCAAACACATGCAAAACGGCCCCGGAGCAAAGAAACAAGTTTGTCATTGCTCTTGTAATAAGAAAGTTCCCTCCCAAGGACGAAGATCAAAGGGTGCCACCGGACGACGGAAGCTACCACGCGTTTCAACCGGACTGCGATGCATTTTCGCTGGACGCACCTTTTCCCCGCACGGACACGTGCCCTGCTAGGCCTCACGCGCAGCAAGGTCCAGCAATGCGGCTTCCAGTTGGCAAGACATCGCGTACTTTGCAAAAAACCTACCCTTCCTCCCACTAACATGGCACCTGTGGGGAGGCATCTGGAAGATCAATTTCCTCTTAAGGAACGCCCTGGCAGGTGCCATGTTGGTGAGAGGGAGTGTAGCTTCCTTCACTTTCAGCCTGCTGAAAAACAAGAAGAATCCTAGCTCGAGATGGGAGGAGTCATGGCCCATGCCGCTTTCAAGCCGCTTGGCAGCTGCGATTCCGCAGTGAAGCCTTCTGGCGTGCAGCCCACAAGTCGCCTCAAGGCGGCAAGTCACCTCAAAGCGGAAATGAAGTGGTAGAAGGCATGTGTGCAGCCTTGCCATGCCATGCTTGAAATTGATGGCCCGGGTTTCGGGTTGCTTCTAGTTCTTAGCAGTGCCATCCATTTTGCTGAAAGATGCTGAAAAGACACTTAGAGAACCATTGCCACAGAAACTGGAAGTTCTTCCAGACTTGTCGTATGAACCGGCCAAGCGAACCATCGAATTAGCTCCCTTAAACTATTCCAAATCCAGCCTCCAAAAGCAACGACCTCTCGCAACATGACCCCCCCCCCCCCCGCCCGGGCACCTTCTTCAACACCTGGTCTTGAGACTATATAAGATATCAACACGTACCCTACTCATAATATGCTATAAGCTTTATTTAAGATATCAGTGCATACCACTGTTGTGCGTCAGTGGTCCTTTCGGTCGGGGCAGGCCTTCCAAGGAAAGCCGGCTCTCAAAAGCACCTCACCGCAGTCTGGGGCTTGCCCGCCTTGGCTGGCTCGGCGCCGCCCACGAGCGTGGTGCTCGCACGCGCGCTCATTTCAGCGTTCGCCGGCTGCGCACCGCGTCACGGTCACGCACATCGCGATGCGAATCGCGCACCTTGGAAGCAAGACAGGTTGGCAAACGCAGGCCGGGTCAAACAACTGATAATGTGGGGTGCAAGCGGTTCCTTCTCCATCCTTCATGCGAGACGGGGTTTGTCGCACCAGTTCATTGATGATGTTCAGGCTAGCTCTGCTTCGGTTGCCATTACCACCGACAAATGACATGCATTGTATCCATTGCCAAGCAAGACTCTTTGGCGGTATCTCCAAAAATGGCTGTGGCTCAAAAACATATACTAAAATGGTACCTTGGCAATTGGAACCAAAGACCACACCTGCCTAACCCTACCTCTTTAATTTTGAGCCACACCCAAATGGCCCAGCCTCAAGTTTGCCAGCCCCTTTGACCGCCCAAGCAAGCCTACATGTAAGGTACACGAGAAGAACATGGGCACATCCATCCTAGTCCAAGCGACTCAAACTCACGAACTCAACTAAGAAACTTGCAAACTCCAAAGTCACAAGCCCCTGCTTGTCCCCTCCATAGGATGTGCAAACTTGCTTTCGCGTTCCCAAGTGGTTTTGGGACTGAACCTAGGGACCCCTAGCTAACCACATGCGATAGCATTTCTCATTCCCTACCGACGCCCAGCAAGCTTTTTGTTCACCTCTCTCTGGCGACAAATGGCTATATGTCAAAAACAATCGGGGCACAAGCACTGACTTTGGGTCTTTGCTCTTGGCTCTCTAGAAAAACCGAGCTACGCAACGGCTCCTCAAAAAAAAAGAGGCAAACCATGGACGGTCAGACCCAGCGGCATCTCGCTTCACCTTCTCTCCGCTGCGGCGGTGCGTCTCGGCGCCGTTCCGCACGTCCCGCACATCTCCTAAGAGCAGGGCCCCGTCTCAAGTAGGCCAACAGCTCCGATTTTATCGCACCTTTTGATGGAAGGCCAATCGGGTTTATACATGTGCTGTGCAACAACATCACCACAATAATCCGCAATGAGCTTTATCTCCCCATCCGACATCAGGAATATGCGGACTTCTGGCAAACGGCTTTAGGCAGGTCCCCTTTTGCAACTTGGGCGTGGAGTCCAAATTGTGCCTAACAGACGAAACATATCGCAGGTGAGTGGAAGCCGCCTATGCGATGGACATTGTTTGTGGCGTTGTGAATTGCATGGACCATGCGAAACTCGGCTGGACAAGAGAAAACGAAGGGCAACTGAAGTGCTTGCTTTCCTCCGCTTTTGCTCAGTGAGGTTGGTGCAAGTGGAGCCTTGGACAAAACCTGCGGTATGAAACAGGAGTCCCAAGTATGGGGATGTGGCATCAGGGCTGCCAGCTGGCCTGAGGGATGACATTGTGCCTAGGGACGATCACTTTGGATCAGCTGCGAATGACAAGAACTCATGCCTTGGCACCTGTCTGGAATTGAATTTCCTGTTCGTCGAAGAGGGAACTACAAAAGTCCTGGCGGATCACAGCCAAATGTTTCTTGCACGCATCCTAACAGCATAAGGCAATCATGTCATGCCCGCAGGCCTAGAAACGAGTTTGATTGGAACGGACGTGAAAGCGCATGCTTCACACAAATAAGTGCGTGCATGGAAGGGCGAAGCAATGAGGCATCCACACACGATCGAATCCAGAACAAATGGCCCAAAGAAGCCAAGAATTCTCATGGACAATCTTTGACTGTTGGATCTGACATGGTGCTTGCAAGCCTTTTATTATATTTGCTCAATTTGCTGGGGGGGGGCGGAGGGGATCTTTTGGGCCATTCGCTTTGGACGAGCGCCTTGGATGCTGAAGTGGATAGAATTCGTTCATCCAAGTGGCTCACATCCCGGTTGCTTCTGCTCAGGCGGTCAGCCTCAGAATCACCCTAGCTCCCACCAATTCAACAAGCCAAGCTTTGAGTATCTGCTTTTTCTGGTCTGCTCAGCTTTGTTTGAACCAATGGGCCAAGGCGTCTTGACAATCCAAAGGGTTGGCCTTTTTTGCTGCTTTTGTCGCTGCGCTCATGAGCACAACACTGATCATCCATTCTAAGAGTGGATCCTGCCCCACTGATGGCCAATGACTCAGGAAATGTGGCATCCTCCCACCCGCCATCGAGAGATACGGTGGTCACACACCACATGATACACACAAACCAGTTAACAAGGTGTCGTATTCCGCTGGTGGTTGGAAAGGAGGTGGTCGTTCACCACTCGCGGGGGCCCTACACTACATATGCTCGTCCCCAGCTTGCTTGCAAAAAAAGGCCCGCTTGTGAGCCTGAAGATGCGAAATCCCACGGGAACCTGTGCGAAAACAGCCGGCGTCCTGAGATTCCAAACGCCTCATGTTCAAGCACCCACTTTTGGCTGCACGAACATGCCCAAAGCCCAAGCCAAGTCGATTTCATGGCATGCTTTGACCGGTTTCCTGGAAGAGGCCTCTTAGCTGCCAAGTGGGGTTTTCACTCGTAATTTGTTGGACATTTGGAACATCACCTACACTGGGGGCTTGCTGTTCCCATCAAAAGTCATAGGCAAAAGGACGCCTTCCGCTGAGCCATGCGTCCCGAAGCTTCCGCGCTTCGTAGAGCTTCTGCTCATCCTCCTCCCTGGCAAGGGGAGAAGACCAGCACCCTCACCAGCACCCCCAGCTGCATCGGAAAAGGGGCACTGAACCCGAGCACTTCCAGCCGAAACAGCACCTTGAGCAGCACCAACCTGGCCCGAACTCGCAAACAGCCTGCCCCTGCCGAAGCAAGAACTCCTAATAGCTTTCAACTCTCTGGGGGGAAAAACACCCTGACCAGCACGCACGCAGCACCCTGACCAGCACCCACAACAAACAGCACCAGCACCAGCACCCCAAACTGCATGCCCCCTAACACCCAGCCGTCAATCTCGTAAAACCCTTTTCCATCTTTATTAGAAGTTTGAACCCCTATAGCTTTCAGCTTTGTGGGGAAAATCAATCTCAAATCCAGGGGGACACGTTTGCCCAAACGTTCACCCTTCCTGCTCGGCCTAGAATTTCGCCGTGGCTCCAGCGTGATTCGGCCTCCGCTCAATCAGGCGGGCAAGCCATGGGAGACTCAAAGGACCAAAGCTTTGCGGACCTGGGTGCACCATAGAGGTCTGGCAAAAATTGACCACCCCAGTTTGGTTTCTGCTCTATCGCGGCGGCTCGCTCTTAAGAACTTAAGAACCACAGGCATCAGCCAGGCTTGGGCCAAGGCCACATCGGCCCAAACCAACAAACGGGATCTACTTTCCAATTGTTCGCATGGTTTGGTGCACAAACCGAGCCAAATGATCAAGTCTGCAGCAGGCTTCAGCGCCCTGGTGGGAAGCAAAGTTTCGGTCCATTCGCAATGCTGCTCGGATTTGCCCCGGCACGCAGGATACAGTTGAAGGCAAACGTGCACACGCACCCACACAAACAGACAAACAGACAGACAGACAGACAGACAGACAGACAGACAGACAGACAGACAAACAGACAGACAGACAGACAGACAGACAGAAAGACAGATAGAAAGACAGATAGACAGACCGCCAGAAAGCCTACCAGCTAGCAAGGAAGCAAGCAACCAACCAACCACACACCCGCTACAAACGAACAAAAACAAACAAACAAACAAACAAACAAACAAACAAGCAAGCAAGCAAGCAAACAAACAAACAAAACTAGCAAACACACGCAGGGCCGGCCCTTCATTCCGTCTGAGACAAGCCACACGGGGGCGACTCTAGCCGCCGAGCTTTTCGCTCCTGCTCGGCAGCGACTATCGCAGCACAGAAAAATAGCGCTGATGGGGGCAACCCTGAAGACAGAAAGCCATCCCAACACATTTGACAAATGACAAGAATCTACGGTTCGCCCGTAGCGCATATGTGCATATTATAAAGAAGGAACGGCCTCCGACTGTCCAAACTGTTCAATGTGAGGCAATGCTGCCTGCTGCTCAAATGTCAGAGGGCAGCCAGCAAGGCTAAAGTCGGCGGCTAGCAGGCGGTTGCAGCAGGCTCAAACCCCCCCCCCCCCCTTTCAGCAACTTGGCAAAACCATCGATGACTAGCACAATTCTCTGTGGAGCACTGCTGGCCAAAACCAATGCAAATCACGTGCGAGGGGAACCGCCTTGCTGATCTGGCACCGCGAAGCCAAACGCACACCGAGTGACATTCTGTTAATAGGGTGGCGGCCCCCAAAAGTGATGAATACCTGAAAGGGGACACCCGCCAATCAACATCAGCCAGGGGTTTAATTATTGACACTACCCTTTTGCCACTGAAAAGACTCGTCATTTGAGCCAGCAACACGTGAGGCCAACATCGATGCTGTTCCAAAGGTGCGGACTTTCACACGCGCAATTTCCCTCGCAGGTCCTCCTCTGAGGAACCGCGGCTTGCCCGCCTTGCGACGCAAACGAGACAGCAATGCAGGGCTGTCTCCACACTTTCATATCGTTTGGGACTGCTCTGTCCGTGCGCAGGGCGGCAGGGCATTGTGCAGATGTGGGTTTCATTGGGAACGTCTCACGTCTCTGTTTTGTGCAGGGGTTCCAGTTTGAGGAAAACTAGCTCAGGCCAAAGTGCCATTGCGAAAGCGTGAGCACTCGAGTCGCCGAACGCACTAACAACAGCACACCCATGTCCTATACCCTGCTGCTGATAGAACCTGCAGAATTACGGCCAGACTATTTCACGGTGCCCGCAGGCCGTTCATGGTGTTGTCCTTGCGTTGTGCTCGGTGAGGTGCCCACTATGCGGCGACGCGCTAGGTGCCAACGCGCCCACCGCCACATTGTGCACCAATTAGCCTCCCTTTGGCTTACTCCTTTCTTGCGCCAGGCCAACTTGAACATGCAAGGTGGCTGCGGTGATGCTTTTGCCGCTATGGCCTTGGCCTGAAAGCAGGGCGGCAGCAATCACAGCAAATGTGTTTTTCTGCAATTCAACAAACTGCATCAAGGAATCTTGGCAAAGGCCAGTCAACCAAGCCGGCAAAACACGGGGGTCACTGGATTCCCTTAACATTGCAGCTGCTGATAGCTCATGATAGTGAAGCTGCCACCTTTTGGAGGCATTTGGAGGTCCAAGAACAACAAATTTGAATCAATCCTGCCAGCCGCCCAACGAACTCACACCTTCCCGGCGCCCGAAGTTCCGGTGCCTTCGCCGGGACCGATCGCCTGGCGGAAAGGCAGCTCCGACGAAGCCGCGCCCGGGAAAGCAAACCCCCGGACCCGCCGGGAACGAGCTACGAACCGACTCACAATGGACCCCATCTCGTGAAGTTGAGGGAGATGCACCGAGTTGCACCGAAGTGAACCAGAAACCAAAACGGGAAACCACCGTGCAAACTGATGGTTGCGAGTAACATGGTCCTGCACGCCTACATTCTGGCCGGGGGAATCGCAGAAAAGACATCTTGGAAGTGGAATGTCTCTCAGTGAGCCACATCCGAAACGAAAGGATCTTCATGCTTGACTTGCAATATCTTTCGCACCCACGTAACGTCCTCCCGCAAGCTTGTAAGACCAAAGTTGGCCTTGCGCTGCAATGCACGTGAACAGGTGTCAAAAAACACCACGGACAAATCGCAAAGCCAAACATCCGGCTTGCAAGATCAGCAGAAATTGGAGCTTGCTTGTCTCAATCTGTGCGTTCTTTGCGAAACACTCCCTTCAGACTGACAACGCAGGCCAACACCGCACAGCACCACGAGCAAGACAGCACCGCCACATATGGCAGCAATCCCCCGGCCCAACAAGGAAAAAGCAGGGCGCTTGATAAAAGCAAAGGCAGCTCCATCTCACAACAGTTCGGGTTAAGACTGACTTCTGTCACCACCAACATTGGGACCCCCCAAAGTTACCAAAGAGCTGCTATCCAGAACAAATACATATATATATATATATATGTACATATGCGGCCCCAAAACCCGCGCCTGCTGCTTCCGTAAGGCAAATCAGGCCATTTTAGATGGGTGTTACTGAAAACTCGTTTGTTGGCAGACCTTCGCAAATGATTCATTAAGACTCTGCCACCCATGTAAATAGTAGTCGCTTCTGCTTTTGCAAAACGTGTGTAACATTTCTCCTATTCATCCTTGTTCAACCATTTCATACATCGGTTGATCATAAACTAAATGTATTTCAACACAAGTGATTTTGAACAGAGCATCAGAAACAAGGCTATGTACGTGGAAAAAAAAAAAGAAGCTAGGTAAAGTGTCACAATACACAGGGTTCAAGCCATGATGTTCCATACATACATCTCTGAAGTGTTCAAAGGTGTCAGCCAATGATAGAACATATGTTTTCCTATAAAAACCGTGACGTTCCCTCATGTTTTGCTGTTAATGTGTGGCCCTTTCAATGTTGTTTCTCATTCATCACTAATGCTATCCTCGTTCAATTGACTGTAAACATCTCTGCGGGAGTACCGTCGCAAGGGTATGAACAATGAAGCAAGCAATGCCTCTTCTGCTTCGCCTGTCATCTTAAAATCTGTGCCAAACCCATCTCTCATCCCAACTCATCTGCAGTCAGCTCCTAAACCTGGGCCGATACCCAAACATCTGCTCACATCATATATTGCTTGATCAATGCCACGCTGTCTGATAAAATGTCTAATTTCCCTGAACGAAATACGTTCTGCACAACACTTGCCAAGAGGCATGCAAAACACTGGTATTTATCGTGTGTTTTCCATATCCACGGGTTAGCTTGGATTTGAAAAAGATGCTCTAACAAGTTAATTGTCCAATGTCCATATGCTGAACTGTCAACTGTATACACCGCACACAAGTCCAATATAACACTAAGGTGCACAACCAAACCGCAATGACGGAAAGCAGACGGTTTAAAGCGCTGTCGGATCTAAGATTGAAGATTTAAGATTCCCAAACTTTTAGATCTGGAATCTTGAATCCAGTATGGGCCCCCATCGCTTTAGAGCACTTTTGGATCTAAGATTCAAGATTCAAGATACCCAGGACTCTAGATCAAAGCGCTTTAAAGCGCTTTCGTCCAGGTACCTCATGAATTCAAGATTCAAGATCTAGAGTCCTCGGAATCTTGAATCTTGAATCTTAGCTCCAAAGTGCCTTAAAGCGCTTTAAAGCGTTTTGGGGGCTCCATATTGGATTCAAGATTCCAGATCCAGAGTCCTGAAAATATTGAACCTTAAATCTTAGATCCAAAAGTGCTTTGAAGCGCTTTAAAGCGTTTTAGGTAAATAGAGTTGCAGTCAAATGCGCAGATGCAGGCATAGTTAGATAGTCAAAATTGAGGTGCCTAAAGGGGGAAATGACCCAAAAGTAGCGTAAATTCCGTCAAATTCTCTTGGGGCGTGGGTTTTTGGAGAATGTACCATATAAAAAAATACATGAATAAATAAGTAAACACATATACATATATATATGTGTGTGTATGTATGTATGTATGTATGTATGTATGTATGTATGTATGTATGTATGTATGTATGTATGATTATGTATGTATGTATGTATGTATGTATGTATGTATGTATGTATGTATGTATGTATGTATGTATGTATGTATGTATGTATGTATGTATGTATGTATGTATGTATGTATGTATGTATGTATGTATGTATGTATGTATGTATGTATGTATGTATGTATGTATGTATGTATGTATGTATGTATGTATGTATGTATGTATGTATGTATGTATCGTACGTATGTATGTATGTATGCATGTGTCTGCTGGGCCCACACCAGCTGCCAGCACCAAATGCTCTTCGCACCTCGTCGCTGTCAACGCCATAGTCACGACTGCCCCAAGTCACGACAGAGCAGCCTGCCGCACCAAGGTCCACCAGGTGACAGCCAAGCACCAACCTCAAAAACTGCTGCAGGGGCCGCGGTGCCTGCTACTTCAGCTGAAGTAGCAGTCGCCTCTGGCGATAGCATTAAGGACACAGCAGCTGCCGAGTCCACTCGGCTGCAAAAATGCAATCGCAGAGTGCTGGGCCACACTCATGGCTTCCAAAACGTGACGACTTGGACAGTGCGACAAGCCAAAGCCAGCAAGAACTGGGCCACGCTTCCAGTTCTTCTGGCGATTTGGGGCTGCTTGGGGTTTGAATTCTTCGAACTTACCGAGTAAGCCGATCCGCCGACCAAGCCAGCCAGTCCGGCCTCGCGTCTTTTCCTCCTCTGGGGTGGCTCCCAACCTGCGTGGAATCTCATTTCGACCGAAGCTGCGGGCGGAAGCCCGTAGTCTCTGCAAAACAATGATTCACGAACATCCACCCCACAGTCCGACCTGCCACTATGCAGGGGCCCGGGTGCCAAACACGATATATCAGCTGAAACTTCATGCAGGCTCAACCTGAAGCACACCCCCAGGATCCGAACCCTTCGCCGCCGGATCCTGCAACCCATGCACCCAACGACAACTTCCCGGCGCACCTTCTTGCCTGGCCAAGGCGGCGATGCCATGAAAAATGCTGTTCTCCCCCCCCCCCCGGTGTATTTTGGGCCACCCGTACCTTTCAAGAGAAACTCGATTAAGGATTGGTGGCTCCTCTCTCGCAAGCTTAGAAGTGCGGAGTGCCAGGCTGAGCGTGCAGGAACCACCCTTTTGCCCCAGGCCTAAACATATGCAGCTTCACTTGGGAGTTGGATGGTGTCTTCGGCTCACTTCCAGATGTTCGACCGCACTGGATTCCAGTTCGTGGTGCCGAAAGGCCCGGTCCAGCCTCCACAGGCTCCTGGCCAGGTCGTGGTCGAGCAACGGGGGCCGGCCCGGGTACCAAAGGAGGGTGGGGCTCCAAAAAAGTCCTGGAGGAGTCAGATGGATGCCAAGTGTTTGTCACAAGTAATTTAACCACAGCACCCCCCCCACGCCCAACGCCAAGGCTTCCCTGAAGGCTCCTGGACATTGGAACAACTGAGATTGAACAACCTATCAAGGGGGCCATTCTGAACTGAGCTGGTGAATCAGTGTCATGAACCATGAGGCAGAGTGAGTCCAGGTGAGGTATGAGGTGATGGCGCCCCACCCCGCATTGCACAAGGACTTCGCATAACCATTGGTTGTGGGTATGCGGTTTGGCGTACCCCGAGTTTGACCTGGCTACGTCGGAATTCAGGTTTCCTGGCTGGATTTGTGTGAGCTATTGCGTGTTGGTGCTTCCCCTGCCCGTGCGACGTGTTCTAAACAAAGAACTTGCATTGATATTGCACAGCTTGAAAAGTGTTTGAGAAATGCGAAGAGTAATCGTCACCTTTCAATACTCCAAGCTTGCCAGGTGCTGGCGCTGTGTATTTTAGCTGTTCCCATCGCAAAGTCACCGTATTTATTGTGGATGAGCAAACTTACTTCGTGAGGAGCTGAGATGAGGCCGAATGTTGCGCAAATACGTTCCCCATCATCGCAACTGTGTCCCCCACACTCCGAATGGCCAGCAACAATGAGCAAACTGCCATCCCCTCGCCCACCCCCCCCCCCCGCACGCCGCGCGCAGCGCGTTGATTTCTTTGCACGGGGCCGGCCCAGACCAAGGCGCCCCCCACAAAGTCCGCCCGTTTTAGGCAGAGCTTTGCCGCCCGCTGCAGGTCCGCCAGGCGCGGCGCCGGCTTCGGCGCCGAGCCGTAGCCGGCGGTGAGGGCGAGGTGCGCCAATGGAAGGCTGGGGAAAACGGTGTGATGGAGATGGACCTGACAGGTAGGGCGGGAGATGTTGCGCTTGGGTGGGTGGGGTTAAACAAGAGTGGCTCGAAACTGAATTGACATGCTTCAGGCTGGCTTGGGATAGAGGGCCTGGTATGTGGGACAGGTGGTTGAACAACAAAACATCCTAACTGAGCTTTCATTCCGATATTGCACCCCTCCTGCCCACAATTCAGGGACCCACACCCCTCGTCACCCCACTCCACCCACCCACCTACCCACCCCGACCCACCTACCCACCAACCAAACCCAACCCCACGCACCAACACCCAACCCAACCCGCCCGCCCAACCCGCCCGCCCCACCTGGGCGCGCAGGGAATGCGCCAGCCAGGCCCCCAGGCAGTGCTCCAAGGAGTTGGCGGACCCGCCGAAGGACTCCAACGCCGCCTCCGCGGGGAAGGTGACGAGGCTCAGCCGCTGCCTCGGGCTTGCCAGCGCGTCAGCGCGTCAGCTTTGGGGTAGGAGAGAGTTGGGGGTGCTTGGGGTGGGGCATCTTGGTTTTGGGTTGGGAGAGTGGTGGTTGAAAAATTGGCTTCAGGTGAAGTAAGAGTTGGCTTGTGTTGGTGTTTCAGGGTGTTGGTCGAGGCTTTGGCTCACATTTGGATTCAGGGGTGGCTAAAGAATGGTAGGGTTGGTTTACGGGTGCTTCGGAGTGGGTTTAGGGTAAGTTACTTGGTTGGTGCTTTGGTTTGTTCAGTCTGTTGCCCAAAAGACCTTGTCAAGGCTGAATTAGTTCGGCTTGGTTTTGGCTTACGCGTGTCGTCGCTATGTGCGCAGATTGCAGGTGGGAGGGGGTGGACCTGGCGGACACGATCAGTGTTTGGCTCGCATTAGCTGGTTGGGACCAAGGCCGCGCCACCAAGCAGCGAGACACTTCTGCAATCAAGTGAGGGTCCACTTTCAGCGCGTATGCACGCGATGCAGCCAATGCAGCTGGCGGCCCGATGTTTGTCTCTCAGCCTTGTTCCTGGCTAATCCCGGCTGCCATGTTCGCAGGTCAGAAAAAGCCGTCAGAGTCTGGCCTATTCCCACTTCCCCCAAGCAGCAACAAACACGACAGTGGGCTCAAATAGCAACAACTCAACATGATCCCTGGGCGCCGCTCACGCGATCAGCTTACCCATCTTTCCCATCCACAGGGCGCACAGCACCTGAATGCGCAGGAGGTCCGGACTGGTTTTGTCTACGCAGTCTTCTTGGCACGCCTTCGCTTCATTCCAAGAGCGATAAAGCTGCTTCAGAAGCACTCACAGAGAGCATCTGTGTGGTCGGTGGAAAGCCGGGGTTCAAGATAAGAGATCAGACATTGATATCAATCTGCAAAACCAAACCGCACATTCATAGTTCTAAGCGAAGAGGGCAACCACACGTTCTGGGTGAACATCATGCACAGCAAACCTGCAGAACAAAGCTGTGAGCCACCGTGTCTCACAACCAGTCGAGTTCTGATTGAATCTGGCTGCTTTCACCTCCCATCCTCGAATTGCCCCAAGTCACAACAGAGCCGTCCTCCAGGATGGCAGCAAAAGCAGCCCCAGTTGCTTGGATCAGCTGGACACGCACCAGCTGCTCTCGCACCTGGCTGCTGTCACCGCCACAATCGGGACTGCCCCAAGTGACTACAGAGCAGTCGTCCAGGATGGCAGCGAAAGCACCATCAGCTGTCGCTTGGATCTGCTTGACCTGCACCAACTGCTCTTGCACCTTTCTGCTGTCACCGCCGCCTCTAGGACTGCCCCAAGTCACCACAGACCCGTCTTCCAGGATAGCAGCAAAGGCGTAGCGAGTTGATTGGATCTGCTTGACCCGCACCAACTGCTCGCGCACCTGGCAGCTGTCACCACCGAACTTTGGACTGCCCCAAGTCACAACAGAGCCGTCCTCCAGGATGGCAGCAAAAGCAGCCACAGTTGCTTGGATCTGCTGGACATGCACCAGCTGCTCTCGCACCTGGCTGCTGTCACCGCCACAATCGGGACCGCCCCAAGTCACTACAGAGCCATCGTCCAGAATGGCAGCAAAAGCACCCCTGTCTGTTGCTTGGATCTTCTGAACCTTCACAAGCTGCTCCTGCACCTGGCTGCTGTCACCGCCGCAGTAAGGATCACCCCAAGTCACAACAAAGCCATTGTCCAGGATGGCCGCAAAAGCAGCCACAGTTGCTTGAATGTGCTGGACCCGCACCAACTGCTCCTGCACCTGGCTGCTGTCGCTGCCAGATTCAAGATCGCCCCAAGTCACTACGGAGCCAGTGTCTAGGATGGCTGCAAAGGCACCACCAGTTGCTTGAATTTGAAGAACACCCGCCAACTGGTCTTGCACCTCGCTGCTGTCACCACCAAAGCGTGGCTTGCCCCAAGTTACCACAAAGCCGCTTTTCAGAATAGCAGCGAACGCTCCATCAGCTGTTGCTTGGATCTGCTTGACCTGCACCAACTGCTCTCGCACCTCGCTGCCGTCGCCGCCACAGTGTGGGTCGCCCCAAGCCACCACACAACCGTCTGCCCGAATGGCTGCGAAGGAATAATCAGTTGCTTGGATCTGCTGAATACACACCAGCTGGTCTCGCTCAAAGCTGCTGTCACCTCCTTGGCATGCATCACCCCAAGTAAGCACAGAGCCTCCTGTGGCAAGGGCAAAGGCTCCGAATGTGGCAGCTAGCTTGGTCGGCTGCAGGATTGCCGCAACACTGCTCCCGTCGCGCACGCCGAGCTCGCCTAAAGTAGACGACGGCTCTAGCACCTGACCTCCAAAAGCGAGCTGCAGACACCGGCGCTTCAACTGCCGTTGCGCCGCAGCCTTCAGTTCGCGAACGCTTGACTCCGGGGCCAACATGACGGAGCAGCTTTTCCCACTCGGCAAACACACATCCACTTGCATGGCGCCCTCCCGGGTGTTGAGGCACCGTTCCTTTGACTTTTTGCAGGGACCCGCCGTACAATCACTTCTGCGCTCTGAGGGGTGTTCCTGAAAAAAAAAAAACTCAAAATGCCCCTTATGCAGGAGACCAACCGGCCTGACAGCCGTGTTCCTAAGACTCTTGCTTTCAAAACCATGGAGGGTACTATCCAAGCTGTTTTTTTGGAGGTCCCTACAAGCAACCATGCGTGGGCAAAAGCAAATCGACACCTGGCCATATATCTACTGAATAGTGGGAGTGTTCTTCATTACTACCCCCCCAACCGTTAGCAATCCGAGCCTGTGAGCTGCTTTTAGGTGCTCAAGGAGAAAAAAAAAGACAAAGAAGAAGAAAAACAAGTGTAGGCCTCAGAAAGCGAAAAACATGCCGATGATTGCGCACCAGCACCTCTAACAGCACCCCCGAAGCACACCCAAAGCACCGCACCATCACCAGAGCATCACCAGCACCTCAAACAGCACCAGAACCCAAACTGCATGCCCCAGCCCCCTGCCGTCAATCTCGCAAAAATGCACCCACACTGTCACCAGCACCTCAAACAACACAGCAAACAGCACCCTAAAGCAGGAACCTGCAC